AACCCTAAACCCTAAACCCTAAACCAAAAAAAACCCTAAACCCCGAACCCTAAACTCAACAAAACTTGCATTTCTCCCAAGCCCCAGCTCGTTTGGAGTTATCAGGCACAAAGTCACGCGGTTTGTTGCAGTCGTCGTCGCAACAAGAGGGTTTAGGGTTTAGGGTTTAGAGTTTAGAGTTTAGGGTTTAGGGTTTAGGGTTTAGGGTTATACAAATCTTGTAGTGATGCAGGATATAGTGCATAAGAACATCTGTGATGACAGGAAGAAGCATAGAAGTAATCATGACCTCAGCGATCGCTGCAGTCATAGAAATGCCAATCGAGACCTCTGTCCTACACTCTACAGGCAGCGAACCTGAAACTCCATTTCCTCGGCGTTTTAGCTTAAGAGAACAACACTAAACCCTAAACTCGAAAAGAACCGTAAATTAAACCCTCAGCCCTTTCCTTAAACCTAATTTTCCGAACACCCCAAACCCGAGTCCTCAGCCTTTTTCAATGTTGAAACCATCGGCACTCTCTCAGCTTGAGCATCCTAAATTATCCTAAGCCCTACACCCTAGACTCTAAACCCGAAACTCTAAGCCTCAAGCCGTAAACCCTCAAGATTAATCCCTAAACCCTGAACGCCCAAATTGGGCTCTTCTGAGAGGCCCTTTTTCTGCCCGTGCCTCGGCCTCCCCGCAGCGGAAGTCGCCATCGCCGGAGCCGCGGTGCATCCGGGCGGCACCAACTTGTACAGGGGCCTTTTTAAATTACCTATACTATTTTGGGGGTTCCTTATTATAATAGTGGTATATTGGGCCCCAAAACCCTACTCTAAGTATGCAGGCCCCTACATTAGTACAGGGGCCTTATTCAGAGTAGGGTTCCTTAGTAAAGGGTTACTTTAGGGGTTTCAGGGTCCGCGTTTCAGTATACAGCCTTCAATAATTAGATTAATGAATAGGGGTCTGCTGTATACTATATTGATACTAAGGAGCCTTAACATAATGTTCCACTTGTTCAAGCCACTGCGGCGTTGAAGGATCGGAGGTCAGAGCAATTTTCAAGTTCCATACGTTTAGGGTTTTAGGGTTCAGGGTTCAGGGATTTTTCGGGTTTAGGATGTTAAGGAAATGACGTGGGTATGGCTATACCTTTGCCTTTTCCTATGTGTAACCAAGGTCATTCTTGCCAAGACGGCCCCTTAATCTCATGAGTATTGCCTTTTTCATTGCATATATTACTCTTACCATTCTTGCTATTCTCTTCTTATTGTCGTTAACAAGGCCGCTTCTTTTCAGTAACCCTAAACCCAAATGCCTAAACCCTGAACCCCAATCACCTAAACTCTTCTTTTCCACTAACCCTAAACCCTAAACCCTAAACCCGTCTTTTCACTAACCCTGAGCCCTAAACCCTAAACCCTAAACCCTGAACCCTAAACCCTAAACCCTAAGCCTAAACCCTGCACCCTAAACCCTAAACCCTGAACCCTAAACCCTAAACCCTTCTTTTCACTGACCCTAAACCCAACACCCTAAACCCAGAGCCCTGAACCCTAACCCCTGAACCCTAAACCCTAAACCCAAAGCCCTAAACCCTAAACCCTAAACCCTGAACCCTAAGCCCTAAACCCTTCTTTTCATTAACCCTAAACCCAACACCCTAAACCCTTCTTTTCACTAACCCTAAACCTCTGAACCCTGAACCTAAGCCCTAAACCCTAAACCCTTCTTTTCACTAACCCTAAACCCAGAGCTCTTTTTTTTTGCACTCCAAGCCTGAGCAAGGCATCGCCCCCGAGTCTCCGCGCAACAACACGAGGGCGGAGGGTCGGAGGCCGAAGGAAGGCCGGGACCTCCTTTGGTTTTAGGGTTCTTGGGTTTTAGGGTTCAGTGAGGGTTTAGGGTTTTTGGGTTTTAGGGTTCAGTGAGGGTTTAGGGTTTAGGGTTTTAGGGTTTTGGGGTTTAGGGATTAGGGGTTTAGGGTTTAGGGTTCCTTTGGCTTAGAGTTTAGGGTTTAGGGTTGAGTGTTCAGGGTTTAGGGTTTAGGGTTTAGGGTTTAGGGATTAGTGTTCAGGGTTTAGGGTTTAGTTTCTTTGGAGGTTCTTTTGGGGTTCTTGGGGTTTTGTAGGATTCGTGAAGGTGGAAACGACTACGTACTACGTAATACGATTTACTACAACAGCAACTGCAATGATGATTACTACTCAGAGCAACAACAACTACTAGTGCTACTAATACTAGTACTAGTACGAGTACGAATACTAGTAGTACTAGTAGTACTAGTGCGAGTACCAGTACTACTAGTACTAGTAGTACTATTAGTACTAGTACGCGTACTATTACTTGTACTAGAACTACTAGTACTACTAGTGCTAGTACTAGCACTAGTAGTAGTAGTAGTAGTAGTAGTAGTAGTAGTAGTAGTAGTAGTACTAGTAGCACTAGTAGTAGTAGTAGTAGTAGTAGTAGTAGTAAGAAAGCAGCAGTATCAGCCGCAGCAGAAGTAGC